AAGCTGTGTTGTCCACTGCACTTCACAGGCTGGGTGATAGACGAGACCTGGTTTTAAAAAAAAAAAAAAAAAAAAAGACGCGCGGGTGGCTCACGCCTGTAATCCTCGCCGAGGACTTTGGGACAGGCAAAGTGGGCGACACGGAGCGGTCGGAGATCGCAGACCATACCTGGGCTAACACATGAAACCCTGTCCTCTACTAAAAATACAAAAAAATTAGCCGGGCATGGTGGTGGGCGCCTGTAGTCCCAGACTACTCCGGGAAGTGCTAGGCAGGAGAATGGCATGAAACCTGCGGAGATTGAGCTTCAGTGGGGCCAAGATCACGCCCTGCCACTCCAGGCCTGGGGCGACAGATGGTGAGATCCCTCTCAAAAAAAAAAAAAAAAAAAAGAACAACTTTCTTGTCATTTCATGTGATAGCATAACTTCTGTGCTGGAATTACAGGCATGAGTCACCACACTCGGCCTAGGGTTCTTCTTTTTGGGTAAAATGACTTCACAGCACTTCCTATTATCAATTTTAAAGATCAGACTCGTCCTCCGTGCCTCGCCGCTCTTCGGTTCTGCTCTGTCCACCACCACGGCCCAAGCTGACATCGTGCTGATCTGATTGGCAGTCATGGACCAGAACTTAATTCTGAACATGAATGACCACAGTTTTGTGGTCTGTGCTTTTAATACGACTGTCTCCAAAGTGGATGATTTCTTGGCCAGTGAAGCAAAGGGAACCAAAGTGGTGGGTGCCCATCCCTGAAAGAGATGGTCTCCAAGCTGAAGAAACCCTGGCAGATCATCCTCCTGGTGAAGGCTGGGCAAGTTGTAGATGATGTCATCAAAAAACTGGTACCATTGTTGGACACTGGTGACATCATCATTGATGGAGGAAATTCTGAATATAGGGACACCACAAGACGGTGCAAGACCTCAAGGCCAAGGGAATTTTATTTGTGGGGAGCGGAGTCAGTGGTGGAGAGGAAGGGGCCCGGTATGGCCCATCGCTCATGCCAGGAGGGAACGAAGAAGCGTGGCCCCACATCAAGACCATCTGCCAAGGCATTGCTGCAAAAGTAGGAACTGGAGAGCCCTGCTGTGACTGGGTGGGAGATGAGGCAGCAGGCCACTTCGTGAAGATGGTGCACAACGGGATAGAGTACGGGGACGTGCTGCTGATCTGTGAGGCATACCACCTGATGAAAGACGTGCTGGGCATGGCGCAGGACACGATGGCCCAGGCCTTTGAGGATTGGAATAAGACAGAGCTAGACTCATTCCTGATTGAAATCACAGCCAATATTCTCAAGTTCCAAGATGCTGATGGCAAACGCTTGCTGCCAAAGATCAGGGACAGTGCGGGACAGAAGGGCATGGGGAAGTGGACCACCATCTCCGCCCTGGAGTACAGTGTACCCGTCACCCTCACTGGAGAAGCTGTCTTTGCTCGGTGCCTGTCACCTCTGAAGAATGAGAGAATTCAAGCTAGCAAAAAGCTGAAGGGTCCCCAAAAGTTCCAGTTTGATGGTGATAAGAAATCATTCCTGGAGGACATTTGGAAGGTCCCTCTACACTTCCAAGATCATCTCTTATGCTCAAGCCTTTATGCTGCTAAGGCAGCATCACCTACTTTGGCTGGACCCTCAATTATGGTGGCATCGCCCTGACGTGGAGAGGGGGCTACAACATCAAAAATGTATTCGTAGGAAAGATAAAGGGTGCGTTTGATCAAAACCCAGAACTTCAGAACCTCCTACTGACAGCTTTAAGTCAGCTGTTGAAAACTGCCAGGGCCTCTGGTGGCGGGCACTCAGCACTGGGGTCCAGGCTGGCATTCCCATGCCCTGTTTTACAACTGCCCTCTTCTTCTATGACAGGTATAGACACAAGATGCTTCCAGCCAACCTCATCCAGGCTCAGCAGGATTACTTCAAGGCTCACACCTGTGACTCTTGGCCAAACCAGGGCAGTTTATCCACACCAACTGGACAGGCCACGGTGGCAGTGTGTCATCCTCGTCATACAATGCCTGATGGTGCTGCTGCTGTCGCCCTCCACGATTCCAGAGACCAGGATATTCCATGTGCCTCATGGCACTGCCAGCTGGCCCTTTGCCCTGTTTTCTGTTCAGATCTTTTTTTTTTTTTTTTTTTTTGAGACAGAGTCTCGCTCTGTCACCTAGGCTGGAGTGCAGTGGCACGATCTTGGCTCACTGCAACCTCTGCGTCCCAGGTTCAAGCGATTCTCCTGCCTCAGCCTCCCGAGTAGCTAGGACTACAGGCACATGCCACTGCACTCCACTAATGTTTGTATTTTTAGTAGAGATGGGGTTTCGTCATGTTGGCCAGGCTGGTCTTGAACTCCTGATCTCAGGTGATCCACCCACCTCGGCCTCCCAAAGTGCTGGGATTACAGGTGTGAGCCACCACGCCCGGCCCAGATCTTTTTTAAAAGTGTTGTAAGAGACTCCTGAGGAAGGCACACAGTTTATTTGTAAAGTAACTCCGAGAGAGCCACCGTGCCCTCTGTCCTTGCCTCTTGGGACTGACCAGGAGCTGTTCCTGTGTGTGGGAGTGGGAACCACCTCCTTGCAGCAGTGGCTTCCTTGTGCCCCATGTGCTGATGGGGTTGCCATCACACAGACAGGAAGGGTGTTTGTGCACTCTGATCAGTTGGAACCTCTGTCTCATGTGACTGAATTCCCTTTTTCCTTTACTCAATACAAGCTACATCAGACTGATAAAAAAATAAATAAAGATCAACACTGACTGTCCCTGGGTAGACAATTGAGGTAGTTTGGATAATTTAGTTCTTTCTTTATCCACTTTTATTGCTGATCCTCTAATTTCAAAAATAAACTTAAAAATAAAACGGAAAAGGCCAGGTGTGGTGGCTCACGCCTGTAATCCCAGCACTTTGGGAGGCCAAGGCGGGCAGATCACTTGAGGTCAAGAGTTTGAGACCAGCCTGGCCAACATGGTGAGACCCTGTCTCTGCTAAAAAATACACATATTGTCTATGGCCATACCACCCTGAACGCGCCTGATCTCGTCCGATCTCGGAAGCTAAGCAGGGTCGGGCCTGGTTAGTACTTGGATGGGAAAAATACACATATTAGGCTGGACATGGTGGCTCACGCCTGTAATCCCAGCACTTTGGCAGGCCAAGATGGGCAGATCAGAAGGTCAGGAGTTTGAGACCAGCCTGGCCAATATGGTGAAACCCCGTGTCTACTAAAAATACAAAAATTAGCCAGGCGGGTGGTGGGTGCCTGTAGTCCCAGCTACTCGGGAGGCTGAGGCAGGAGAATCGCTTGAACCTGGGATGCGGAGGTTGCAAGTGAGCCGAGATTGCACCACTGCACTCCAGGCTGGGCAACAGATTGAGACTCCGTCTCAAAAAAATAAGGCCGGGCGTGGTGGCTCACACGTGTAATCCCAGCACTTTTAGGAGACCAAGGTGGGCGGATCACACGAGATCGGGAGTTCGAGACCAGCGTGACCAACATGGAGAAACCCCATCTCTACTGAAAATACAAAATTAGCCAGGTGTGGTGGCACATGCCTGTAATCCCAGCTACTTGGGAGGCTGAGGCAGGAGAATTGCTTCAGAGGTTGCAGTGAGCTGAGATTGTGCCATTGCACTCCAGCCTGGGCAACAAGAGCTAAACTCTGTCTCAAAAAAAAAAAAAAAATTAACCAGGCATTGTGGCACATTCTATAATCTCAGCTTACTTAGGAAGCTGAGGCAGGAGAATCGCTTGAACCCAGGAGGCAGAGGTTGCAGTGAGCTGAGATGGCGCCACTGTACTGCAGCCTGGGTGACAGTGAGACTTCGACTCAAAAAAAAAAACAAAAAACAAAAAACAAAGAAACAACAACAACCAAAGAACAACCAATTTAGTTATAGTTATTTGGATAGTTCAGGCCAAAACAGGTCATTTGGCTTGAATTATATGGTTTACTTTTCCCAGTTTAATTATTCTACCCTGCCTGGGTATGGATCCTCTTAAAGTTGCTGGCACAGAAAGGCAAATGAGAGGTAAAATGACTCAATTCACTAGATAAATTCACCTTGGACTTTAACTCACTGTATTAGTCCGTTCTCACGCTGTTAATGAAGACGTACCCTAGACTCAGTAATCTATAAAGGAAAGAAGTTTAATTGACTCACAGTTCCACAGGGCTGGGGAGGTCTCAGGAAACTTAAAATCATGGTGGAAGGGGAAGCAAACATGTGCTTCTTTACATGGCAGCAGAAAGGAGAAGGAGGAAGCCACTTATAAAATCATCAGATCTCGTGAGAACTGACTTCCTATCAGGAGAACAGGATGAGGGAAACCATCCCCATGAGTCGTTTATCTCCACCTGGTCCCGCCTACACACGTGGCGATTATGGAAACCATAATTCAAGATGATATTTGGGTTGGAACACATCCAAACCATATCAATCACTTTTCATTTAAAACTATGTTTATAAAGACACCAAAGGGCACAAAAGTATTAATAATATATGTAACCCAAAGTAAGCTCTGGGTATTTACTTTTGCTTGAAGATTATGGTTTACATGTGTAAGCAATGCTGTAGAGATTATCAGACTATCAGAAGACGGAATCCCTATGCCAGTCTTCCTCATTCATTCCTTGGGCAACTCCCTTAATCTACATATATCTAAATTCTCCAATTTTTTTTAAAAAAAGATGATACATATCTAAATATTATATTTACTTTTGTCCATTGATTTAAAATTCTGAAAACAGAGCCAGATGCGGCGGCCATGGCTCCACGGGCTCCGGTAGCTCCCGCCTCCCCAGCGCTGGTGGCACACCCACACCAGCCTGGAGGAGCAGAGGATACTGCAAGGCATACAAATGAAGAGACACATAGACCAGGTATGGGAGAAGGAGTGCAGAGCTTCCATGCCATACCTAGGTGCCACGCTCCAGGAACCTGCATGTGTTCAGCCATGCAGAAGCTTCCTGAACTTGTCCTTTTGTGTTTTTATGGAGGTTTCGTTATGGAGACACGATCGACTAAATGATTGGCCATTGGTGATCAACTTAACCTTCAGTCCCCTCCCGGGACTGATCCTGCCTTGGTCTTTCTGGTGACCAGCCTCATCCTGAAGCTGCCTAGGGGCTGCCAGCCCTCCGTCAATCATTCACAGGCAAAAAGACATCACTGTGGAGATTCCAAGGATTTTAGTGTTCATTTCGGTGTCGGGCACAGTGCTAGTACTAGGTATTCACTGGTGATGAGGCAGATGGAGGTTACCAAACTTGGCCGGAGCCTCATGTAACAGACATGGACTTCACTGTAGCCTGGTCATGGCTTCCAGCTTTTTGGATCTGAGGCTCCAGAGGAGGAAATGACCATTCAGGGGTCTTGCTCCAGCTCAATTATGGAAAGTGAACCTTCACAGGGTGTGCACTTACCAAGGACAGGAAAGTTTCTCTCTTTGAAGGGCTTTAAATGTGTAACGAAGAAAAATGATGACTTTATCAGATAGCAGATGAAAAACATTGTGAACAATTACTCAGAGGCAGAAACCAAAGTTTGGGAAGCCACCTCCAATGACCCATGGGGCCCGTCCAGCTCTCTGATGACCAAGATTGCGAACCTGACCTACAACATGGTGGCCTTCTCAGAGATCATGAGCATGGTGTGGAAGCGGCTCAATGACCATAGCAAGAACTGGCAGCATGTGTACAAGGAGCTGCTGCTGCTGGACTACCTCATCAAGACAGCTCTGAGTGCGTGGCCCAGGAGTACCGTGAGAACATCTTTACCATCCAGACCCTGAAGGACTTCCAGTACATTGACCGAGATGGCAAGGACCAGGGCATCAACGTGCATGAGAAGTCAAAGCAACTGGTGACCCTCCTCAAAGATGAGGAATGGCTGAAGGCTGAGAGGGCCCAGGCTCTCAAAACCAAAGAGCACATGGCCCAGGTTGCCACTGGCATGGGCAGCAACCAGATCACCTTTGGGCAAGGCTCCAGCCAGCCCAACCTCTCCACCGGCCACTTGGAGCGGGAGTATGGCAAGGCCGGGGATCCCCAGGCTCCTACCATGGCTGTGAGTAATGGAAGTGCTTCTCACCCTTTGCCAGAGCAGCAGCAATGGGTGACAGGTGGGATGGGTGTCCCTGGGCTTAGGGAGCGGTGGCCCCCACAGAGCTTGAATCTGTCCTCAGTACTGAGCCTTTGGCAGCCCAGGCAAATTGTCCTTGGTCTGGGTTGAGTTTTGGTTATGAAGGGACTTTTAGCCCCTTGGCTGCTCTGGTTCAGGGGTCTGTAAGGCCCTTTGCTGCTCTGTGGGTCTCATTCTGTACATCTGGGCAGAAGGTGGGCAGAGGCAGGTCTTGCCTGCTTCCTCCTCAGAGTGGGTCTGGCAGCAAAGGGTTGTCCTGCTGCACATCCGATGGGGAGTTGACTCTGGTAGACAGGAGGAAACAAATGCTCTTTCTTGGTTGTCTTGTTCTTTTTTTGTTTGTTTGGTTTTTGTTTTGAGACAGAGTCTTGCCCTTTTGCCTAAGCTGGAGTGCAGTGGCACAGTCTCGGCTCACTGCAAACTCCGCCTCACGGGTTCAAATGATTCTCCTGCCTCAGCATCCTGAGTAGCTGGGATTACGGGCGCCCGACGCCACGCCCAGCTATTCTTCATATTTTTAGTAGAGATGGAGTTTCACCATGTTGGTTAGGCTGGTCTCGAACTCCTGACCTCATGATCTGCCTGCCTCGGCCTCCCAAAGTGCTGGGATTACAGATGTGAGCCACCGCACCTGGCTGATAATCTTGTTTCTTTAATTTCAGATTAAATGTCTTTCCACTGACTGAAGAAAATAATAAATAAATAAAATAAAATTTTGAAAACAGTAAGAAGCATACTTTCTAAAAAGGTCTAAGGTTCTAATATTCTTCTCCTGTTCTTCAAACTCTGTGGTAAGTTAAGAAAACTTGGTGGGGCGTGGTGGCTCACACCTGTAATCCTAGCACCTTGGGAGGCCAAGGCAGGTGGATTACCTGAGGTCTGGAGTACGAGACCAGCCTGGCCAACGTGGTGAAACCTCATTTCTACTAAAAATACAAACATTGTCTGGGTGTGGTGGCATGCACCTATAATC